AAGTGTTACAAAGCCATTTCTAAGGTTTTGGGACTCCAGCGAACCATGGTGAGAGCCAATATTCACAAATGGAGAAAACTTGGAACAGTAATGAACCCTCCTAGGAGCGGCCGGCCTAACAAAATTATTCTAAGAGCTCACCGACAACTTATCCAGGAGGTATAAAAGAACCCAGAACAACATCTAAAGAACTGCAGGTCTCACCTGCCTCAGTTAAGGTCAGTGTTTATGATTTAACAATAAGAAAGACTGGGCAAAAATGACCTCCTTGGGACAGTTTCAAAGGGAAAGCCACTGCTGACCAAAAAGAACACAAAGGCTTGTCTCACATTTGCCAAAAAACATCTCGATTATCCCCAAGACTTTTCAGAAAAAGAACATCATGCTAACAGTGCTTTGCAGCATCTGGACCTGGAAGACATGCCATAATTGATCGAATCGCAAATTCTGTGCTCTACCAGAAAATCCTGAAGGAGAATGTAAACCTTGGCATCGGACTGCATACTATAGCGGCGATCAACCTGTCTTGTGGAGTCAAAGTCAGATCAGCTATGAGCGGCGGAGAACGGTTGCTATAGGAACATCGGATCGAAAACGAGGCTTGGCTAAGAGGCGATTGTGCATGCGTAAGATTACAGCAAGAGACACATGAAAGGGTGGAAGTAATATACTATGCGGAATCAGGAAACAATACCTAAGATGGCGCAGCCTTATCCCTGTAGAAATTATTTATAAAAGTTTACCAAAAAGTAAGTAATTAGCTATTGGGGCTGCTTTACAATGCGTAATATTTGCTAATAACCTAATATATTGGACTAGATGAAAATTAGTATTGGAGTGGGAGAGTTTACTACCAATTTAACCACTAGAGGTCCTGAGGATTCACCCCCCTTAATGACCAGGCCTCTTTTTGCTACTCGGCGCTGCACTAATTCAACTGATAATTGCGCGGTCATGCAATGCTGCACCCAAACGAAGTTTACGTCCTTTTTTTCACACAAATAGAGCTTTCTTTCGGTGTAATTTGATCACCTGTGCGCTTTTTATTTTTCACGCTATAAACAAAAAAAACGCCAAAAATTTGAAGAAAAACAATATTTTTTACTTTCTGCTATAAAAAATATATAGTAAACTCAAAGTTGGTTATAAATTTTGGCGAAAATGTATTCTGCTCCATGTTTTTGGTAAAAAAAATCCCAATAAGTGTATATTGATTGCTTTGTGTGGAAGTTATAGCGTCTACAATCTATGGTATAAATACTGCAATTTACGCCATTTTTCTGCTATACAGCGCTGTGCTAGTTTAACGGACAATTGCGCGGTCATGCAATACGGTACATAAATGAAATTTACATACTTTTTTTTCCCACAAATTAAGCTTTCTTTTGGTGGTATTTGATCGCCTGTGCGGTTTTTATTTTTTGCGCTATAAAAAGAAAGGCTGACAATTTGGAGGGAAAAAAAAACAATATTTTGGACTTTTTGCTATAAAACATGTCCAGTAAAAAAAAAAAATGCAAAAATCAAATTTAGTCAAATTTCTGCCAAAATGCATTCTGCGACATGTCTTTGCTAAAAAAAAAAAACCCCAATACGTGTAAATTAATTGGTTTACGTGAAAGTTATAGCGTTTACAAATGGCGGGAAAGATACTGGGATTTTTAATTTTTATTATTTATACTAATAATGGCGCCGATCAGCGACATATAGCGGCAATCAGCGACATATGGCGGCGAGACCAGCGACTTATGGCGGGACTGCGGCGGGACATTTTGACACTGGGGTGGGGAACTGACTTGGGGTCACTGACATCCCCAGTGACACCAATACAGTGATCAGTGAAAAAACCACTGAAACTGTACTAATGTCACGGGGGAGGAAGGGGTTAACATTTTTATAATTTGCTGTGTAAGGGGAGTGTTTTACTAGGCAGGGGTGTGTACTGGACGGGGGGAGGGAGGGGGGGGAGCTGATTTTAAAAACTCTTCTCTCCCTCTGCAGCTTGTCAGCGAACTGTCACAGAGCAGGCGTGTGTAAACAATGCAGCCCTGCTCTGTGTCAGTGATTACCGCTCATCGCGGGGAAAACGGCCAGTAAAAACCGGCCGAGACCCGCTGCTGACACGCACGGGACAGGCAGGGCTGGGGCGCGCACCTTGCGCGCGCCCCCTACCTGTTTTGAAGGCAGCCGTTTTAAAACGTGCTTTTGCCTACGAGCGCCACCCTGCCACCGTTTATATGCGGTGGCTGGGCGGCATGTGGTTAACAATGTGACAAATATGCAAAAAAAAAAAAATCAACAAGAGACAAATACATTTCCACAGGACTGTATTAGTATTCCACAGGACTGTATTAGTATGCTCAATTCACATTCAACCACCTGTATAATAATGTTTCAAAAAGCTTGTAATGGATTCTAGAGATGAGCATGCAACCCATAGGTTCATGAATACCTTAGTATCTTTTTCCAGTTTAAATTGGGCTATTAATTTAATGCAGAAAAATAAATATGGGCAGGCATGTTAATATAAAAATATTTCAGACATTTCAATAACAAAGTTTACATGAAGAATTGGATACACAGTTATGCAGTATATTAACCGCTTTAAGACCGGACGCTTTCACGCCCTTCCTATCCAGGTTTTCTTCAGATTTCAGCACTGTCCCATTTTTAAATGACAATTACTCAGTCATACAATACTGTACCCAAATGGAATCTTTATCATTTTTTTGGACAGATAGAGCTTTCTTTTGGTGGTATTTAATCACCACTGGGTTTTTAAAAATGTTTCTATATAAAAAAGAACAAAAGAACGACAATTAAAAAAAAAAAAACCAAAACACCACATGTCTTAGTTTTTGTTATAAAAATTTGCAAATATTCATTCTTCATAAATTTAAGCCAAAATGTATTCTGCTCAGTGTATATAATTTAGTCTGTGTGAAAGTTATACAGTCTACAAACTATATATTTGAAAATTATTAAATCCTCATGTAATGACAGCCTTTAGCCCTCATGCACACTGGACGTTTTTTACAGCTGCTGTTTTTGGCTTTTGGCGTTTTTTTTTCTACAACCAGTAAACTCCCCAGCATGTTATCCTATGTGTCCATGCACACATAGACTGTAATCATCGTTTTTTTGGCAGAGGTTTTTTTGGTCAAAAAAAAAAACCTAGAACTAGTGGGTTTCTAGAGGAGTTTTTTAGCTGCAAAAATTCTCTGACGCTGAAAAAGGCGGCAAACCAGGGTTTTTGGATTTTTTTTGAGCAAAAAAAAGCTAAAAAAACCGCAAACGCAGGAAAACACAGCTAAATGCGAATGCAAATGCACTAAAAAACGCTGAAAAAGTTGCATTTTTAACGTGACTTTACACAGCTAACGCATGGAGCTTTATAATTTTTGATACCCTAAAATGTCAGGACAGTACAAATACCCCCCCCCCCCAAATGACCCCTTTTTCACAAGCAGACAGTCCAAGGTATTTAGTAAGAGGCATGGTGAGTTTTATGAAATTGTACTTTTTTGTCACAATATTTTGTCAAATGAAGTAATAAAATAATAATTTTTTTTACAAAGTTGTCATTTTAGCACGTTATTTCTTAAACACAGCATAGGCATACTGACCCTGTTATACCCCAAAACACAGTCTGCCACACCTACCGAGTATGGACATACAACATATGTGAGACTCTTTTACAGCCTAGACACATAGAAGGTCCTTTGGGCTTTAACCCCTTGATGCCGATGTCACAAAATACTCACAGAACTGGGCTTTTTTCCGTGGGGCCACATACCTGTCTTTCTGCTGGGAGCACGCCGCACAGCACGTTCCCAGCACAAAGACCAGGGTGTCACTGAGAGCCCCGGGTCCCATTCTAATGAACGGGACCCAGGACTCCCGATTCCGGGTCACATGATCACTGTGATAGCCTCTGATTGGCTATCACAGTGATCAGTCACTGTTTAGCCCGCACCCCTTTTTTTTACATTGTATCTCTCTAACTCTTTGCATAGAGAAAAAAAAAAGTTTGTAAAAAAAAAAGATAAATATAAAATAAATAAAAGCGTAAATAAAGCAAAAAATACCTAGATCAAGTTCAAAGGTCAGGATTTATTTTATTTTTTTTAAAATTGGTATCAGGGTCAGTGTGTTTTAGGTGAAAAAAAAAAAAAAAAACCCAAAAAGAACAAAAAACAAAATGTGTACTATTGTTTCTGGGCTGTACTATAGGTACAAACAACAAATCACATACACATATATGGTATTGCTGCGATCGTCAAGAGCTGGAATATTTATTTTGGGTTGTTCTTTGGTGGTAGGTTATGGTAGTAACAAGAAACACATAGTTAATTTAAACAAATTATATTGTTTTTACTGTGTTGGGCCAGTTTTCCTTTGGTAATAAAAACAAAAATCAGGAGATATCCATTACCATTTACCACCAAAAACATGGCATAATTCACCTGGATGCACAAAGTAATTGTGATGATATGTACGATTTTACAAACATATGTCAATGTTGCACAATTGTGCTCAGGCATTAAGATTTGTTTTACCCTTAGGCGAGAAGGGGTTAAAGAAGCATAAATTAATCTAATTTCCGGACTTCCTATCATATTTCTTGCAGTGAAATTCGGCCAAAACCTCACTAACGCTAAACTTCCTCCCAGATCCAATCTGAGCCTAATCTATCTAACTCTGTAAAGAAAAGATAACTATATCTGGATTGGTCTCTAGCAGTGGCTTTTGTGTGAGAGAGAAAGCCAACAACGGCTGAAAAATAAAGAGATGACGTCACCGATAGACATACTATGGAGCTGCCCCTCCTCTACACAGAAGCCGCCGCTGACAGTTCATTCTGGGATTGGACCGGAGCGGCTTCTGAATAGGTAAGTTTAGCGATTTCTTCTTTACAGGGTTAGATAGATTAGGGCTGGGAGTAGGTTTTGCGTTAGTGCGGTTTTGGCTGAACTTCCACTTTAAAGTGTTACTAAACCCAGGACCCTACATTCACTATCTGGTCTCCCACAGCGCACACTACATGGAAATGCAATTATTTTAGTAAATATAAACTGCTAACTACCTTTTCTCATCAGCAGTTAGAGCAGTCTTGTGACTTCTCTCAGTATTCAGCAGAGCACTGGTTAAAGCTTGTAGGAGGAGTTCTCTTTCTGCTCTAGGAGGATGAAAAACCCCTGATCTCTGTCTGGACAGTGCTGATTGGCCCTGTGCCGATCACATGCATTCTCCCAAGAAAAAAAAAGAAACCTTTCTAGTAATATTATTATTATTATACAGTATTTATATAGCGCCAAAGGGTATGCTCAGCGCTGTACAGTAGCAAGGGGGACAGAACATGAGACAAGACAGTAACAAAACAGTACACGAGGGGTTCGAGGGCCCTGCTCTTTCAAGCTTAAAATCTAGGAGGGAGGGGACGGTGATACAGGAGAAGATGGCTGTGGGGGATGGAGTGGTGGGAGGAGTGGAGGAGGTTGTTAGGTGAGGTCGGGTGTTAGGTGAGGTTGGGGTAGGCTTCCCTGAAGAGGAGGGTTTTCAGGGTGTGCCTGAAGGTGAGGAGGGTGGGTGACAGTCTGATGGATTGGGGTAGGGAGTTCCAGAGGATGGGGGAAGTCCTAGAGAAGTCCTGCAATCGGGCGTGGGAGGAGGAGACCAGGGAGCTAGAGAGTAGGAGGTCCTGTGAGGAGCGGAGGGCACGGGTAGAATAGTATTTGGGTATCAGGTCAGTTATGTAGTTTGGGGCGGCGTTGTGAATGGCTTTATAGGTCAGAGTTAGCAGTTTGAATTTGATGCGTTGGGTAATCGGGAGCCAGTGAAGGGATTGGCAGAGGGGGGATGCAGATGTGGAGCGGTTGGTGAGGTGGATGAATCTAGCCGCTGAGTTTAGGATCGACTGGAGTGGGGATAGCGTTAGTTTGGGTAGGCCATTGAGAAGGGAATTGCAATAGTCCAGGCGTGAGATGATGAGGGAGTGTACGAGTTGTTTGGTGGTGTATGGGGTGAGGAATGTGCATATCTTAGAGATGTTGCGGAGGTGGAGCCTGCAAGATCTAGATAGCAGTTGGATGTGGGGTAGGAAGGGGAGGTGGGAGTCCAGGGTGACACCCAGGACTTTGGCGTGTGGGGTGGGAGAGATGGTGTTGTTAGTAGTGATGGAGAGGATGGGGGGGGGGGGGGGAGACCAGGAGCTCGGTTTTAGATAGGTTATACACACTAAACTGAGCATGTGCAGAGTGTCTCCACATGATATGTCTTGTCAGGAGAAAAGGAGACACTGGAAGAAGGGGAGGTTCATAGAAGTCTGGATCAAGCAGCATTTTTAAAAACATGCTGCGGATTATCCCCTCAGGTTCCACAGTGAGTATAACAAGCATGTTTTACTGCACATACAGACTGATTTTACTGTTGTGGGTTTTGTAACACTTTAAAGTGGTTGTAAAGACTCAAGGTTTTTTACTTTTATGCATTCAATGCATGAAGGTAAAAAACTTTCTGTGTGCAGCAGTGCCCCCAGCCCCCTCAGTACTTACCTGAGCCCCATCGAGATCCAGCAATTTGAACGATAGCCGTGGCTGTCCCAGGTTTCTGCCTCCTCATTGGCTGAGACAACATTGGTTCCCGTTGCTGTCAATTAAAGACAGTCAGCCAATTAGGAGAGAGAGAGCGGGGCCAAGCCACGGCTACGTGTGTGAATGGACACACGGAGCAGCAGGTGCCCCATAGCAAGCTGCTTGCTGTGGGGGCAGCCAACAGGACGGAGAGACCAGGAGAGTCTGCAGGGGACCTGAGAAGAGGAGGGTCTGGGCTGCTCTGTGCAAAACCACAATACACAGCAGGTAAAGTATAGACATGTTTGTTATTTCCCCTCCCCCCAAAAAAATTAACCTTTAGAATCACTTTAAGTCCCTGAAAAACCAGGACAGGAAAAACACCCACAAAACTACCCAATTTTGGAAAGAAGACACTTTAAGGTATTTTCTGAAGAGAATAGTGGGTCTTTTGGAAATGTCATTTTTTGCCACACGTCTTTGGAAAATGCAGGAAAGTAAATGCAAACACCCCAAGGTATACTTTAAGAGGCATGGTGAGTTCACTTCTCTTTATTTTATTATCTCCTTGTTTCTCTTCCTTTGATTCAATCCCCCTCACGTGCTTTCTCCCCTCTGATGCAGTAGCTCTGGTCTCAGAGTTTGGGAGCTTACTCCTGTGATGGTGAACAGTAATATTTGGGAGCCTCTTAATGTCCTGGGAGTATTCCAGTCAGGCTTCATGAGGTACGTAAATGGTCTACACCTATAGCAAGGGCATTACTCAACATTAGTCAGAGCTGCCCAGTTTGGTTTTATATACAGGCACCCCTTATCTGCAAAGGTACATTTTTGGTAAAGGCAAACTAACCCTTTACATGAATATTTTTTTTTAATCAATTAGCAACCTGCAAAGCACAAAAACAGAAAACAACTAAATCCCACCAATATTAGATTTGTCTACTGGTTGCCTTTAAAACAGCATCTATTCTCCTAGGTACTATTGGAATCTAAGTTTAAGAAGCTCAGCAGGTATGTTGTTCCACACATTTAGAATTGGTCACAGTGCTTCTGTGGATATAGGCTGTCTAAGTTGCTTCTGTTTCTTCCTATAATTCCAGACAGACCCCGTTATGTTGAGATCACGGCTCTGTGGAGGCCATGCTATCTCTTCTAGTAGTCTTTATTCTTTTTTTCTGAAGATTGTTCTTTATAACTTTGGACCCAAATTAATTCTGCAGTAGGACAATGAACCCAAACATAAAGCTGTTGAGGTGATAATGTACGACGGATAAATATCTGCCTGTACAAAATTGAGGAGATTAACTGTGACAATATCACCAATTATATGTGCAGAAATGTAGCCCCATACAGTTAGGTCCATATAAAAATTTGGACACAGGCACAATTTTAGTTTTTTTTCACGTATTTACCAAAACCATGGTTTACCATGGCTACTCTTAAGGGCTGTAATTCCTAAACCCTTCCTCCAATTGGGTTGTGCATACCCTCAAATTAAACCTGAGAGTCTGCACTTTCAGCCCATATCCATTATATAACTATAGCTTGAATATGTTTTGGTAAATACCTGAAAAAAACTAAAATTGTGCCCGTGTCCAAATATATATGGACCTAACTGTATCTGCAAGAACCTCCACCATGCTTTACTGTTGCCTTCAGGCCCTAATCCTTGGCCCACTGTCCAGGCTTTAGGCAAACAAGCTGCCATGTTTTACAGTCAAATATTTCAAATTTAGCCATACACCCAAAGTCTGGAGACCATATCTAGTCAGACTTTTCCGAAATCTAGATGTTCCCATCCATCATCAGGACCTCACTTCCATTTGTGATGGGAAGTCGGCATAATCTTTCATCTGCTGTACTAAGTTTCTTAGGCTGACCACAGCTTTCTTAGTCCTCAACACAACCCATTTCTTTGAGCCATTAGCAGAAAAGCTTGGACAGCACATTACTGCTGTGAGGACCCTTGTAGGTGCAATAAGAATGCCCTATGTCTTATAAGTGTGCTCTATTTGGAAATTGTGTCTTCACCAGCCTTAACTTGTTAGTAGAGAATGGCTTTCTTCAGTCAGTTTTATTCTTCCCACATGACTGATTCTGTTAGAATTCATAACTGCATTTTAACCCACGTTATCTTGTCGATCATTGCACCTGTTTGGTATAATTGTTTAATCGTGCACTGCCTGAAAAATCCGAAACTGCATAGTGTACCTGGAAAAAAAATGAAGGTAATTAACCCCTTCCTGCCTGAGCCTCCTGGTCCTTTAAGAGGTTTCAGATGCCGGGAGGCAGAAGTGAGCATTTTGGTCATGTGACCAGTGTGATTGGCTCTCATAGCGGTCAGATTATCAGAAAGCATCGGATCGCAAATAGAGATTAGGAGCTTTCAGTTACCACCCCCAGTAACTGTGCCGGGAGTGGACAGCATAGTTTACATTTTGGTACGCATATATGTGGCCTCTTGGCGTTAAGGCCTACCCATTGAGAGGCCCGCATATATGTGCACAGCTGGCGAGAAGAGGTTAAAGCTGAAGTCCAGGATAAGCACATTTTTGTCTAAATAGAAGACTTATGTCTATTCTTCCTTCAACCAGTTGCGTACCTTAGGCGTGTTACATAAATCTGGATTTATAAAGGCATTTGGTGCACAAAACATGATTAATACTGTACATTTGTGGCTAATGAAGCATGTTAAATGAGCATGTTAGTGCCTGGAGTTTCAGCTTAGGCAAGGTTCACACTTTTGTGGGCAGCATTTGCGTGGGCATGGCAGCCCATTCATTTGAATGAACTGCTGTGCCAGTTTTCAAGCTTCCTGCAGTATTTTAAAAATGCAGCGGCTGGGAAATAGCATGGTGCAAAAATGGTTCTGCATCCACAAATGCATTTCTACATGTGTGGGTGTGTCATTTAAAATGAATGGCAGAATGAAATGAAAACGAGAAGCGCACCAACCTTGCACATTACCTCAGTAACCAAAATGTATTAATTGTAAAAAATATACTCACAAACAGCGAATGAAATCAGGCATGTAAGTCCTCACAGGGACTTGAAGATAGCGTGAATCCCATCAAGGGAATGGGTGTTCAGTATAGCTGACGCGTTCCGAAGGGAGTCCCGTGAAGCTAGCTCAGATGAAGAAGGGACTCCCTTCGAAATGCGTCAGCTATACTGAACACCCATTCCTTGATGGGATTCACGCTATCTTCAAGTCCCTGTGAGGACTTACATGCCTGATTTCATTCGCTGTTTGTGAGTATATTTTTTACATTTAATACATTTTGGTTACTGAGGTAATGCGCAAGGTTGGTGCGCTTCTCGTTTTCATTTCATTCTGCAGTATTGGTCGGGCTTCCCCAGCCTTGTTTTGGAGCCGCACAGCCCTTTATGCATTGGTGGACGATTTCTCCAGGCCTGGTTCCATCTATTCGCCACCTGTCTGAGCCCTAGAGCGCAGGAGAACTTGTCTTTGATTTAAAATGAATGGCAGCCATGCATGTTTTTAAAAAGCAGCGCGTTTTGGCTGCAGGTGGGGGTATCGCTGCGACCAAATATTTTGATTAAGGTTGATTTCTGTGTTTTCATTTTGTTGGTGCCTAGTTGATAAAAAAAAAATTGCATTGGCACCATCAGACCTTCTCCATAGTGGTCATAACTACAACCCACTCTCCCAATTTGCTGGCTCAGTTATTATTGGTTTAATAATTATGGCCATGCTTTACGTTCCCCAGGCATAGCAGTAGTCATTAAAGGCCCCCACAAAAAGACCTGCTTGACAGATAGGGCAGCCTGAAACACTGTGTGCACTGATGGAAGGTGGGACCTTGGATTCCCCTGGGTTTTAAATGATGTGATGGGAAAGGAGGCAAAGCTTTCAAAGTCCATAGCCCCCTCGCCATTCTGGAAACTGCAGTTTAATAAAGTTGTTTTGGAGGAGATTGCCAATCCAACCATACAAACAATCAAAATGCGTTTGATTTATAAATATATAAGGACTGAACATGTACTTTAAACTCATTCAAAGGGCAAGGCCAAAAGTGCTACTTCCACTAAACTCGTTAGTTCAGCAGTAGCTACATCACTTGTACACTCTTTAAAAGAACAGAGAAAGCAATCTGTAATCACTTCACTTTGTAAGAGATTATACAGTATGCTAACAGATGGCGGAATATTCTCAGGCTGTTTCCAAAATTCATATTACATTAATCAAATGTAATTAAGGGAATTGCTGGTGAATGGGAATTGTGAGCTTGACAAGAGAAATGTCTACTAATTAGCACAACTACAAAGTAAAAGAAATGTGTCACGGAGACACAAGAAAGCAGAAATCTGGATACATGTACAACTGAAAAGGCAATGCTTGATGTGTCTCCGTATCGGTAAACAGGAAGATTTGGTGCACATGGTTTCCACAACTGTACTATTTGCCTAAAAAGCAGAATCACACTGTCAGAAGAATCTTCTCAGAAACATTTGCCACATTACTAAGAAGTATTTACCCACATTTAACTGGACATTTGAAGAAACACATTTGATATCTGTGGGACATTTTAGGCTCCGGTAATATTGCGGAGTTCAAGTCTTCAGTTCAAGTCAAGGTGAATGTGACTAACTACTACCACATATACTTCACACAATAAATCATACAGAATTTTGTTGTAGGATTTTTAAGCTGCCA